CGACTGACGCTGTGACCTCCGATCGAAACTATGACCTCCGCCAACCGAAATTTTGACCGTAGCGATCATTTGAACAAGGTAGTCTACGAGTCTCTGACATTTCAAAACCATTGAATGTGTTATTAGTTGTATTTATATAATGTTGTTATAAATGTTAAAAAATTTAATTATAGTACAGAATCGAACGAAACCGAACTGAACCGAATCGAACCCGAATAATTCCATAATTATATTTGGACCCGACGGTTCCATTTACTAAATACCTGAAAATTTTGGTTCGGTTCGATTCTCTTTAGAACCGAACCGAACCGACTCGCGCCCACCCCTAGAGTCAAATCGAACCGACTCGCGCCTACCCCTAGAGTCAATGATATTAGCCCTTATTTAGTTGGGATAAAATAGATTATTTGCAAATTTCTATGAAAGCTAGTTAAATATATGATTGAAAAGTTAAAAAAATTTGTAAATCCCATAAAACTATATGGTTAAAAATAGAGTTTTAAGAAACGAGAACCAAATAGAGGCTAAATAACTTGTTTTAGCCAAACTTTCATGGATATATTCGTTTTTCTTTTTAGAGATTTTGACCTTCTACTTTGTGATTTGATGTCATTTTTTACTTATTTCATTCTTGAATTTCATGATCACGAATTTAGATTTTAGGCTCGACACAATTCAATCAAAACAACTTTAAAGATAGAACTGTTTTTAATCATTCCAAAGCAACACGAATCAAATCATACATGGTTAAAATTCATCGTTTTTTAATTATTCGGCTAATGAAGAAATATCAGAATCCCATGTCGTATTTGGATGCAAAAAGCCTTGGCGGGCCCTCTTCTATAACTTTCCTCTCTAAGATAGTTGGTAGAAATCGTGCTAAAAAGGCAAAATTGCTCATTAATACACCAAGAAGATTTGACTAAAGAAAAAGCACATAAAAGGACCATCAAAATCACTTTGGTTAACATAAAAGGGCAAGCATTTGGTGCCCGAAACCTTTTGCGTGATTGCAGGAGCACTGCTGCTAATCAAGATAATGTATAAATTCAATAAATTGAACGGGAAAAAGCCACTTTACCTGAATTTTGATGACAGCTCGATTAATCGACTCTCACATTGTGTGTGGGTCCCCCGTGAATATTAAAATGCTGACCCCCCATGTGTGTGTGTTCGGTTGTCTCTTATATCAATCCTTATGATTGTGTAGCACGATCCATTTAAAAATTGATTTAGTTATGAGTACTGAATGAAACTTTTAAGATTTACTCTTAACATATTTAGAATAAAACAAACTAAACTTAAACCATTGTAATTGGCATGGAAGTTACAAAGTCGAACTTTTTAAATTGAATAATACATAAATGAAACTGAAAATCTTTTCTACTTGTCTATAGAATCGATGCAGGTTCAGCAATTTCAATATTGACTTGTTTTGACCCTTCAAATGGTATTACAGGTTATGCAAGTTGACCAATTTCAATTTTGACTTCTTGTCACCCTTCAAATATGTCTAAGTGCATATTTGACACCGTTAATTTATTTAATGATTTACTACATGATTATTTTCAAACACACACTCACACAACAAAATATTCTACATGTTCTCCTAAAAATACTATTTAAAACTCATTTTCCCCCAATTAATGAGAATCAAACACGCTCTAATTTTTGTATTGTATGTTGTTCTAGTAACTTTTTGCAGTTTGTCCGTTATTTAATTCCCCAGCCCCCAACCCACCTACACAATAGGAAATTCATGTGGAGGAAATAAGATTATTTGATTTAGAGATGTCAAAATGGATGGATCGATATGAACCAACTCATCTAAAATCAGGCATGTTAAGGTTTTAAACCAGCCATATTAAAAATATGGTTTAGAATTCGGTTGGACCATCTTCTAAATCTGAAAACTGAATGAGTCCAAGAATCGACCAATGTCGTGGCGGGGTCGGACTAGCTTTTTCCATTTTTTGGAATTTAATACTATTTAAGTAACGTACGAAGAGGAAAAAAATGATTATTATGTAAGAGATGGGCGATTGTTAAAAAAAATGTAGAATATATAATAGTAGGGAAAAATATATAACTACCAACCTTTTAAAACACACTTTTGAACTTGACAAATTTGTGAAATTATTCCAAAATCAGGTAGTATTAATTAATTAGTCAATCAAATTGGCTAATGTCACATTAACATATAATTTATGGTTATAATTATGTACTAGTCACAAATTACATAATGACGTAAAATGTGGGTAACAATTATAAATTTGGTCACAGATTACGCATTTTTATAAGTTACAATTTATTTATCCATCACAAATTATCAAAATCACAACTATTTATCAGTCAAAAATATCAAATTAATTTATCATAACTTATTTCTTGATCACAAACATTCAAATTAACTAATTACAATTATTTAATTAAATGGTTAGAAATCACCCTTCATCTCCCCCATCCAACTCCACTATTGCCAGCATCATCTAAAATGTCATCACCATCTTAGATCCATAACTCACCACCACCTACACCAATAACCACCACATCCACAAATTCACTCACAACTCCACCTCCACACACATCACCAGCGTCACCACCACATTTACCCTTCAACCAACCACACAGACACACACAAACCATATATTTAGCATCATCACTACCACTATCACGTTGTCAACACCTATACCAACAACCTAGCACACATCTCATCACAGACGTATAGGAAATTACATATTGTACCTCCATAGATGCAGCGCCACCACAGTTACTACACCATCACCATATGCACCAACAATCCAACACACATCCTATACACATATGCATAGGAATTACATATTGCATTGCACAAACACACACTTCGCCACCATCACTCCTACACTGCCACCACCATCCGCATCAACAACTTAACAAACAACCCATACACAAATGTACAAGAATTGCAAATTTCACCTTATAGACACACATATTGCACTACCTAGACTTAAATTCTAATTTTGACATAGATAATCAATGCTCAATAGCATTCAAAGATGTTGCAGATCTCTCAACACCATGTAGATCTTAACATCACACTACGGATTGGGAGATGGTTGGTTTTCCATGATGGTGGCAGAAGTTGGAAAGTGTTAGTGAGGGTTGATTGAGAAAGGATTGGTATAGAGGGTCATAAGTGCTCAAAAAATTATTTATGAAAATATCTTTCGAATTAAAATCATCACAATTGTACTGTTCATTAATAAGTAACAAAGTGAAATTGAGTCCAAGTATCATACCTTGAGATTGATTTAGTGCAATTTTAACTGAAATAATAGTAATGTGATGTGTTTGTTTATGATGAAATTATAACCAAAATAATCTACTTATGCAATTATGAGTAAGTAACTAAGCTAAATGCAAATTGTGTTGAATGCAAGTTAATGTGTTCTAATGTATGACAAGCCCACTAGGATCTGGAATCTACTTGTATCAATCCTCTTTAACACTAACCTTACAATTTGACAACATGATTCAATTATGAAGATCAATATTCCTAAATTATTTAACAATCTCTCTTGAGTATAACTAAACATGTTCTTACACGTAACCCGACTATATTTATACGACGGATGTGAACATACAAAAATGTATTAAACATTTATGAATACTTAAAGATCACGTAAAGTATATTGATGTATTCCTATCATCTATTGGACTTTATGATGATTAACACCATGTCAACTTACTTTCCATCTTTTGAGGGTAAAGCAAGCCACATATTCATACAATCATTGTGCACATAATTGTAAAGAAGATAATTCCATGAAAATCATTCAATAATTGAAAATGTGTTTGAATGTCAAAAACAAAAACTAAGAATTAAAGATTCATAATACAAGATTCATCGTAATCTTAGCACTGGATTTGTTTAGTCTAACATATTGTGAAGAAGAAAGCAAAAGAAATAAAAGTTGTTCATCACCTAGAAATTCTTGAATTCAATCTTGAAGTTCTTGGAATTCAATCTTGATGTGTTCTTCACCTGCTTTTGCAATTAATTCTATCATGTAATTATGTTTTGAGAGTTGGTATTTATGATCCCTCTAAAGAGTCCCAAAAGGTCTCTCATAAATTGTTCATATCATAGTTCAAACGGAAATTTCCTTGTTGGAATAGAATTCTAAACGAAACAGAATTTTTTGGTTGACTTGGCCTGATGCGAGTGCTCATTAAGGAAAATGGGACAATTGCCCAAGCTTACTAGTTAGCCCCTATAATTGAAGTTAAGGGCAGGCCGACTATATAACTTGGCAGGTTCCCAGTTATAAAAACTTCTAAAATTTTTCTTTTGGTCCTTTTCTTCATTCTTTCTTCCATCTTGGTCCTCTACGTTAAATTACTTCCATTTTGGTCATTCAACTTTTATTTAAATGCATATTAGTCCCCAAACTTCCATTCATTGACCAATTGATATTTCTTTCTTTTCCAATTGCTTAGAAATGGGTCCAAAACCGAAACAAGATAAGCATAATCCAAGTTAAGTAAAATTCTATACTAAAACGACACAAAAGCTTAGTAATATGGCTCGATTAAGTGCATGCAAATGCATTTATCAAACACCCCAAAACTAAAACCTTTGTTCGTCCTTGAGCAAAACAAAACAAAACTTAGGACTAAATCATGTCACTAACCTAAACAAATCACCAATAACAAACTTAACTTTGAACTGCTTATCATATGCCTCAAATTTGAATTTAAAAGGGTATTAGGCCTAATTGACCATTAAAATTAACTAAATTGAATAATAGTCTTTTAAACTAATTAAACCATTTAGCATGTAATTAATACGTCCTAAAAGCCTCAACCCCCCGCCCCCCTACCAAATGTAATTCGGCATCCCCAATTTAGAAGAAAAGCCCTCTCCAATTCCAGTAATAAAAAAATATTTGCTTGGAGAATTAGTAAGGGTAATATCGGCTTCTTTGACAACCCTGTTGAACGTTGTCAAGACTACGTTGATGACTTTGGTTCATGGAGAGGCCACGAATAAGGTTGCTGCTGCAATGTATAGTGGAATTGCAGTCACCAAAAAAGATTTTGAAGGTAAAAAAAATAATGATTAAAGTAGTGAAATAACGGTAAAAAAAAATTGATTTTTTAGGGGGTGAAAAATTGCTACCAAATAGGGGCTTAATATCTTCACTTTTTTTTTTTTTTTTTTATTTTTTTCTTTTTTTTAATTTTTTTTAATTTTATTTTTTTTATTTTATTTTTTATTTTTTATTTTTTACCTGAAAACACGCATTATGTATTATGATTAATCTCCTAATTTTATTTTGTCATCTTTTTAAATCTTTGTAACTTTTTTTAATTTGTGTCACATTTTTAAATTCATCACATTTTTTCTGTTACTTTTTTGAAATTTTGTCACTTTTTTTAGTGTTTGTCACTTTTCTTAATCGTTTTCTTGAAAATTTTATCACTTTTTTTTAGTGACAAACATTACTTTTTAATAAAAATGACATTGTAATCGATTTTTTAATAAAAAAGTGATGCTAAACTTTTAAAAGTGATATTGTGTAAGCGATAAAATTTTTATAAAAAAGTGACATTATGTCACTTTTTAATTTTTTACACGGTATTTTTTACTTTAAAAAACTTTTCATATGATTTTTCAAAAAATTCTTAATTTTAAGGGTATTTTTGTAAGTTGCATTTTTAAATTCGTCACTTTTTTTTTAAAAAATTTCTGTTACTTTTTTATTTTTTGTCATTTTTAGTGTTAATTTGTCTTCTTTTTTTATCGTCTTTTTGAATTTTTATCACTTTTTCAGTGACAAACATAATTTTTTTTTAATAAAAGTGACATTGTATGCGATTTTTTAATAAAAAAGTGATATTAAACTTTTAAAGGTGATATTGTGTCACTTATTATTATTATTATTTTTTAAATGATACAATTTTTATAAAAAAGTGACATTATGTCACTTTCTAATTTTACACAATATTTTTTACTTTAAAAAACTTTTTATATAATTTTTCAAAATATTTCTAATTTTAAGAGTATTTTTGTAAGTTGTCCAAAGAAAGAGGCAACGAAAGCACAAAATGTGCAATACATATACCATAAAACACTACTTAAATCGCAACTTGTAATTCCTCAAAAGTTCTGATTAACTCTATATCAATACCAATACATACAATATACAAATTCAACTAAAGTACCAAATTCTCAATTAACAAATTCATTAAAAAATATGATATTTATATGTTACTTGTAACGATCCGAAAATTTTCGATAATTTCATATTTAACTATTCAAATGAGACGTGTTTCAATTGATGTCAAAGAGAACTATATTCGAGTCGATATTGAAATTTCGAGAACGATACAAAATTATCAGTTTTATTTTAAGTAGCCATCTTTGGCTAACTATTTTAAGTCCATTGTTTACAATTTTTTTATTTCGAAATATTCATTACATAGTTGATTCTGAGTTCTTCAAACTGAAGTGCTTGGTGTACAGTTTTACAGTCCCCTCACAATGAGGGGGTCCACAATTATTTTATTCATGTGAGCCTCCTCTCAATATGTGAGGGAGCTGTACACCATGGTTTACTAGTGACTTTTCTTTTCTTCAAAACAATAGCAATAACCTATCTCGAAAACTGAAAAATATAGCTCAAAAATAAGCCTAAAGGGTGATGGGACACGTCCAGATAGAAATTTATAGAATACATAGAAGGTACTAATATAAGAGGATCAATTTTTATTTTTTATTTTTATTAGAGATTAAGACTAAATGGCCTTATATTGGATCCACTTTCATTCGAGATTCACTTGTAGTCAATTTAGAGGTCGACCAATTACTCGAAATTCTCCATTGTTCCATTTCCAGGGTGCAATGTGCAAACAAGATTTCTTTGAAGTCTACTACTTCCTCAACACCGTATCAAGAAATTCAAAAGATGCTGCTAAAGCACTATTATCCTTTTTTACCTTTCATCCCTTTCTTCTATTCTAATTTAATTCCTGTTCTCCAATTAGTTCTCCACCTTTCTTCATTGGAGTTTGGGTCTTTATATTGACTTGAAAACCATAAAAATCTAATAATTGTAGATGAAATTTCTTATCTTTGAAAAGCATAAATTATTAACGCAACATTTTGGTCCGTTAAATTTGATAGCACTAGATAGTACGAGCGACAAGTTTTGTCAAATGTTTTTCCTTTTTAATCTTGGTTAGTGCAGTATATCAAACATGCCGTGAATATTATCAAGGCTTACGGTTTTGTGTTTATACTTTATAAATACAAGAAAAAGGAGGCCTAGTAAAGAAGAACAGTGCTTAATTGCAAGACAAAAACTGTGATTATTGGTGTAATCAGGGACGGATTCAAGTTTGAATTCGAGATCGGGCTAAAAGAATTTCAAGTCGGGCTAATACGCGAAAAAAAAAATTTACTCATTAAAAATCTGTTTTAAAAAAAAAAAAAAAAAAAAAAAGAAGGGAAAATCACCCTTAAAAAAAATTTAATTGGACCAGGTGAGGGGGGACTACAGCCCAGCTAGTCCCCCCCTTAAATCTGTCCCCGTGTAGTTAATGGGTCATGTCAAAATTTCTTATGATGATTAATGATGAAAGCTTGTAATGATTTATTGTATGGAAATTTTGTTCAGCTAATTGTACTAAACTAATAATATGTGATAACACAACAATATGTTTCACTCTTAATAATTATTAATATGTGATAACACAACAATATGTTTCACTCTTAATAATTATTATGGTAAATAATAATTTTCTAGTATGATTTATGCTCCGTTTAATCACGTGTTAACCAAACGAACACTAAAGTGTTTCGATCTTGTAGAAGCAAAGATGCAAGGAAAAGCCAGTTCATGAGCCTTGTGCAAGTCTTCTGACTTTCGACTCTAAATTCTTTGCTCATCTTCTTCACATTTGAGTGAGCGTGAGTGGATATATGTGTCGAATATTTGCATGCATGTGTAAGTAAGTATACATTCTCTTACGAAGTAAGAATTTTTTCGTGTAAGACGTGTGGAAAAATGTTGAAGGTACAAAATATAGGTGTATTACGATTATATCAAAAAAAATCTGTGTAAATCTAGTTTAAATCGAGAAAAGTTTTAAAAAATGTTGCAGGACAATTGCCAGCCTCAACTCCCATGTGGCTCTACCATGGTAGATATTAGTTTTGCAATACTATTGGATATGTAAAAATAGAGTTAGGGTAATTTTTTTCTGAACTTATTTTCAATCAAATATTTTATAGAATTTATAATTTTTATCAACTTTTCAGTTACATATTTCATCAACTTTTACCAAATCTACTAAAAATCTGATTTGAATCCAAACTAAAGGGGCATTATGCTCCAATAAAAGTGAAAGCAAGCTATTATGGCATTAGGTGGCAAGCTGTCCCAAAAATTATTAGATGGCAAAGGCCCGCTGGGAACATACAATACAAGCTAAATACCAAAGTGTTGCAAAGCCTACCTATGTAAATCAAGAGGATGGGGAATAATGAGACAATTGATATTTGGATTCCATGAAAACTATGGTAATTACATTCAATCGTGCTACATGAACATTAAAGTTGACATAAAACTTGATATAATTTCAAATGACGTTCTATTATTAGACAGTTTAATACACAATTAGCTAGTCTATTCAATCGTCTACTTCAACATGCAATTATCTCAAATTTTCTGTCAAATCTTTTTGGCAAAGTAGCTTTATCCAATTACAATAGCTTTATGCCAAATGTAAAGACATTTCATAGGACTGAGTATAAAAAATCATATGAAAATATTAGAAGTGGCAGTGTTAGTGTTAGTGTTAGTGTAAGTGGACCTAACCATAGCCAATATTCTAAGAACTAAACAAGAAGAGCCATAAAAATCAGTTTAATTACTGGATGATGTTAGAAAAATGGAAAATTTATGGTGGAGGTTCCAAACATATCAAAACAGTGCAAATACATCTAGACCTTTAAATCATGGCAAAGTCTGAACTTTTCAGAAATGTGCAGCGGAAGAACCTCTTGATGGTTTCTATCCGTAAATTCGTTAGCTGACCAAAAGTTAGCAATTGACCATAATTTAATCAATCTTAAAAGGGCAAAATGGTCTTTCAACCTTTAATTAATTTAAAAAGGAAAATTTGCATCGAATTTTCCATGCATTTAAAAAAAAAAAAAAAGCATAGTCCCAAACCTTTCATAGATGTGCGCACTGTTCATCCAAAAATCAATGAGTTGACGAAAATACTCAGTTGTGCTGATCTACACCGCCCACCTCAACTTCTAACTCCCTAACCCATCAATGGTACAAAACTTCTCTGCCCTAGCTGGTGAACCACATCAACTCCATTCCTCCTAACAAGAGCATTTTGCCTTTTCAAAATTGGCCAGATTATGGTCAAATTTGACTTTTGATCAACTAAATTGGATAGATATTTTTACCGCATAACTTTGAAAGGTTTGGGGCTATCTACAGTGCTGGCTTTTAGATTTTGAAAGCCGTAGGTCTACTTTAAATATGTGGGCCTATAAATTTACAAAAATATATAAAATAACAAAATATAGTAATTTTTATCAAATAAAAAATTCAAAGTCATTATATAATCATCCAAATATTTCAAATGTCTAAATTAAATTTACTCTTCTAGAATTTTTGATAATTCTACTATTATAATTAATCTATTTTAAAAGACTAAATGGTCAATTTCATTCAACTTTTTATGTCATTGTTGATCAAATGTAGGATTTTATAAACTCCAACTTTAAGAAGTTCCTCCCCGATAGATGCAACTGTAATTGATATAGTCATTAATATTATAATAAGCAATTCACATATTTGGAAAACAGTCCATTATTTTTATATATAGTGAAACTTCAATCATATTTCTGATGTCTAATAGCAAACAATTTCTAATAATTTACAACTCAAAAATAACTCGTGTCGTCGTGCTTAAATTTTTTATCACATCAACACTTTAAACAACCATCATCTATTTTCTGTAATTTTTTTAAATCAAATAGAAGCACAAAAGTATTTTCATATTTTTGAAATTGTTCAAACCTTAACTTAGGTGAAAAAAAAAGGAAAAAAGAAAAAAAAAAAGAGTTTAATCAATTATATAAGAAACAATAAACTCAATGAGATTATTTAGCAATATTTTATTTCATCATTGACATTTTCATCAAAGTGCTTCTTTCTATGAATAATACGCTTTTCATGAAATGTAGGTTCAACTTTCATTTAAGAAGCAATTTTTTAACAGTAATCCTGTCATATTCATATTCAATTTATCTATATGTTTCAAAGAAAGGAACAAAAATTGATAGGACAAGGGGAAAAAAATTGAAAAGGGAAGAGAATTTGCAGTGTAATAGTATATTTAAGGGGAGTTTTACTCCCTTATTTAGTTTCACAGGGTCTATATTTGTAATCATTTTAGAAAAGGTGGAAATTGGGTCAAATAGCCCATCTAATAATACACTTTGCAAATTTAGCCTTTGACCAGAGTAAAAGTATTAAAATAAATATTTTAAATTAAAATTAATAAACTCCATGAATTACCCTCGTTCCATTAGAACCAATTTTCCCCTTTTCATTTTCTTTGTCTTCCCCAAGAACGTAGAAACCCTTCTATGCCCAAATTCATCTCTTCTATCGTACTTCACCGTCGTTTCTTTCCTGAACCCGGAACATCATTTTCCTGGAAAAGAAAATCTTTCAAAAGTAAATTCGTACCGATTTTTCGAAATCTTCGCATTCGACTTGTAAGAAACGAGCTGTTATTTTGTTTTTACTATGAACCATTTATCTTTCCATCCCTTCCAGACGGGTGGTGTGCCGGCGGCAGCGATAGTTTGAGAGGAAATGAGAATGGAGGACTTCAGATTTATGCTTCCGATATGATAATACTCTTCTTCGATTACTGCATTTTGAAGGTTGATCCGTATCTGAAGGTTAGTATAAATGCATTTCATTTTGGTTTGATTAGGTTTTTGAAATGGATATACATTTTGGTTTGCATTATTTGCTATTCTTAATGGTGAAACCATGAACTGAGGAAATGTGATTCTTAGAAGAATATGGCATTAATCAAGTTTAGTTGGGTGATTAGATATATTGCAAAATTAGTCATTTCTTTATGCTATATTTATCAGTGTGAGAGGCACGAGCATGCCAGATCTTTCTCCTCAGTGAGCTCTTTAGTAGTCAAGTCCAACTTGTTCCTAGAATACTTGTCAATTGAAAGTCCTTGCACAATAGACCATTCTACATTCTTGCAAGTATCTGGGAAGGAATAAATTAGCCCAACTGGGACATTGTATGAGCCATCAGAATAAATTAGCACAGCTTCACATTCAATCAATACTTGTCTTTTATCATAATGTTTAACCGAAAATATATATATATATATATATTTTGGAAAGTTGGATCTATCTCTATGTATTAAAACTTCTTCAGAATATATAATGTGATTTTATTTATTTATTCCACAATTCAATATTTTTGAGCAAAAAGTAAGATGCCAAGGTTCTATGTAAAGTATAACCTTAAAACCTTAATATTTTTATATTTAGATGTGGATGACTTCACCCGGTACATCCAAGATAAAATTATTTCGTAATATGATGGTCATTGATAATATGTTCTTATTAGACTGGAAGGAGGATCTAAATCATAACTTATAATTGGAGAATCACTTCATAATTTAAATGTTTTGGATTCAAGTAAAACTAAGATGAATTGTTGTTATAGTCGTAGGTCTTGTCCTAAAATGTGCTTGCGTTTTGATATCGTGATTAATGGATCTTCGATTCACATTCTATTACCTCAATCAGAATCTTTCAGCAATAATTCTAATTTTGGATGTCGTGTTGATCTCTTTAGTGTTTTTTTAATATATTTGTATCATGGTTAAACAATCTATCTTGCTTGCTAATATTAGGGCTAAACTATTTATAGCTTATGATGAATCTAGGGAGAATCTTGATAGCCTATCGTCTATTTAAAGCGTGTGTTTGGGATGCAATATTGAACAATATAATATTTAACGGCTTTTTCTTCTTTAATGATATCCTATCGTCTATTAGTGATTTTGATCTTTCATTTTTACATTGGTAATAATTAATTGTTAAGGCTATTATGTTATACACTATAATTTGACTTGGCTCTTTCAAAGGAGTTGTTGAAGTAAATACCACAACACAAGTCATTTTGTCTTGAAAAGACTACCTATTTGTTATGATAGTAATGTACAAATTATGAATCTCCCAATTTGAATGGAAAATTATTGCATTGTAAGATGGCTGAAGTGTTTCGAGTTAACTAAAAACATTATTGGCAACCATTAATATCATTGATGGTATATACTTAACATAGATGCAATGGTGTACAAAGTGTTTTTCTAGTCTAGATTATGTGGATTAACTTTGACTTGGTGTAACCTATCTTTTAGTTCCATTTCATGTCTGGGGTAATTAGTTGGTGAATTATTCATATAAGGCTTTTTATCTGCATGCTTGAGCAAAGATTTTTTCCTTGCAATGATTAGTGTCTTAGTGTTATAGAACATTAATTAATAATAGGTTTCTAAGGGGAATTTACAATAATGCAAACTCTCTGATGTTCATGTATCTAATAAAGCCTATGCTTAATTTTTGGAGTCTCTTTTTCTTTATATTCACTACTTTCGTAACTGTACTAAGTAGAATGAGAACTGAGTCCAATAATCTTGAAGAGTTAGGTCAAATGTTAACTAGCCGTTTATCTAGTTCTGGGAATGGCACCTTGCTGTTTTAATGAAAGTAACAAGATTAGACTCTACCATATTCATTCCAACACTTCCTACATTAACACACTAAGTAATATTGTAAATTTTTAATATTTGTTTGTTGCTTATTTAACATATTATCATAAATATTTCATATTTGTTCATTAATTAATTAACATGATCATTTTATAAATTTTTTATTGTAGAAATGGAACACTCATGAGTATGTGATTCCCGTTGAAAATAGAATTAGAGGTAGACCTTCACAAAAGTGTTCCCTTCAAAAACTTGACTATGTTTTGGAGATATTAGATGATGTTCATCGAGATATGTTGATGGAATCTTGTTTCGGACAACTTTATCGAATGAAGCATATACCTTTTTCAGCCCAACTAGTCCACCAACTTGTAATGAGAAGGATTGTGACCAAAAAACAATATGAGATCTGGTTTTCAATTGGTGGTAAGCCAACACGATTTTCATTACACGAGTTCTCATTAATAATGGGGTTGAGAGCTAGTGAAGACCCTTCGTTGGAGCCCCATGTTGTAACTAATGATAGATTAGTGAAGAAATACTTTAAAAACTGTAAGAAAGGCATAACGGTGTATAATTTGAAGGACGCTATTGAAAGTCGCAAAGTGTGTATGGAAGACAAGTACAAGATTGTGCTTGTATATATTTTGGAAACGGTACTTCTACCCAAAGAAAGCTACACATACATAAATTTAGAACACTTGTCAATGGTTGATGACTTAGAGGTTTTTAATAGTTATCCTTGGGGGAGAAAGGCTTTTGGCCGCACAATTGATGTATTCACAAGAGACTGGAGGTCCTTGGTAAAGTCGTACTTGATAAAGAATGAGAAATATCCATATTCAGCTTATGGATTTTCACTCGCCTTGCAGGTAATGCTTTTAAAATTACAATTTATTATTCATTCTCTTTGGATTGTAATACTTTGAAACTTATGTAGATTTGGGCCTATGAAGCCATACCATCCATCGGTCGAAGATATGCTGAGAATTTAGAGGAGGCTGACCTCCCTAGGTTATGTCGATGGAGTTCTTCTGAAATGCCCAACTCCAAGGATATTTGTGCAAGTCTGGATGAACCAAATGTAAGTATATTTTAAACGTATATTAAAATATATTGTGTACTTTATGAAAACTAAGTGCACATCTCATTTTTGATATAGATTGTTGTTTATTGCACACTGAAGCCTACACATGAAGAGGCTTCTCAAGCATATTGGACGGAGATTCATCAATTCAGTGATGAAGTAGATGATCCAACAGTTGATATCTTTGTGGATAATATAAATGGAACAGATTCGTCCATTCATGCTGATTTTCCTCAACAAGCTTGTCAGTCTCCTAATGCCTATACATCTCCTCGGGATCCATCTTCCTTTCATAGGCCACCTACTTCTACAGATACTCATACATATCATCATGGGCCGTCTACATCATATCCATCTCTTTATCTATCTAGAGATGAGTTCGCTCAAGAATTGAGGATGCAATTAGTACAGATGGTAGAGACGTTAGAGAGGAAAAATGAAAGGCGAATGGATGATATGCGTTCTTACATAGATCAAAGGTTCGATTGTGTTACATCTTTGTGTAGACAAATTGACGAGAAGATATCATCTGTGGTACATTGGATTAAGAATTCTAACCTATCAACACCTTACATATATCACTCCCCTCCTCATAGTGGATTTATGAATACTGAAGGGACACATGATGTGAATGAGGATTCAATTCCTATAGAAGTGAAAAATGATGAGAATGAAGATGGCAATGAGCAGAGACAAGAAACAAATAATTTGTTGGTAAATGAATCAATTCCTGTCGAAGAAAAAAATTTGTTAGTGGACGACAATGAACCAAAAAAAGCAGTTGATGTGAATGAGGATCTAATTCTCGAAGAAGTGGAAAATGAGAAAAGACAAACAACAAATATGTTGAATGATGGTCAAACTCATGTGGAAGAGATAGATATTTGTAAACTAATGGATTCTCAATCACATGGTGTAGTGGAGTCCGTCCCTACTGTGGTTGAAGTTGAGTCTGTTGACTCGAGTCAAAATGGACGCGAGATGAGAAATAAGAAAAGGTCACTCATTCTTCAATCTCCATTTACAAATCCCGAAAAGAGGAGGAAGCTTGGCAATGTCAAAGCATTTGACCCATTTCAAGAGCTAGATCCGGCTAAGGCGGATGACTTAGAGAATTGGTTGGTTAATGTACCAGACAGGTATCTATTCTTAGAGTATTTATTTTTGTGAAGTTGCAATATATGTTCTTATGTTATTTATTTTTTCACAGCGAACATGCAGAATTGATATTGTTCACGAAGCCAAAAAGCTTTTTTTTAGATATTCAAAAGCAATTTGGATGGCTTAGTAGTGATGTAAGTCTTTTAGCATTGCATATTTTGCTCATACTTCATTTCATTCTTAAATGATTTTGTACACTTGCAGCACATTGACATAGCGTTATACTTGATGAGGTCACGAATGGTGAGACATCCTACTGTGTTCGCTCAAAATTGTGCAATTTTAGATTGTGCTTTTATTAACTTATGCACCAAGAGGTTAGAAGATTTTGAGTTGCATAAGAAAGAAAGACAGCCAATACAATCATTTAGATGGTTGACAAATATGACAAGATACATATATGGTCTAAGTCCGGAGAAGAGCAAGCGATGGGATTCTTGTACATCATTGTATATTCCTTGCAATGTGGAAATGAAGCACTGGATTGCACTTAAAGTGGACCTTGCAGAACGAACTATATACGTATATGACAGCATGAAGAGTTGCACACATTTTGGAAAACTGGAAAAAGTCATGCGTCCACTTGTGAAGGTGATTCCTAGAATGATGAAGGAAAGTTCTTTATTTGGGGAAAACTATCCACATAAGCAGTTTGTTTGGCGTCGACATGCAGAAGTTCCACAGCAAAACAATGCGTAAACAAACTATATTTAACCTTCTTCATATTTTCATTGATTTGATAATACATATATTTATTATTGCACATATCTTTGCAGGGGAGATTACGGAATATACGTTATAAAGTTTATAGAGGAATATACGTTATAAAGTTTATAGAACTTTTGTTGGCAGGATTAGATGTGAAACTTATATCTGATGATATGATTGATTGTTGGAGGAAGAAACTAGCTGCTGAAATTTTTGCTATGCATTTTGATCCATAATTGCTTATTTTGTATATTTTTCACATCTATGTGGTTGGAGGGTATAGCTGTTGAAGTTTTTGATATGTGCGTGGAAGTTATTTTGTCTAGTTGGTATTGGTTTTTGTAATGGATTAGGGAACAGTGTATGGATGATGATTAGTCTTGCTGTGAAATGTTGCTATAATTTTTGTTGTATGGATGTTTTATTCAAATATAAAAGCATTCAGGTTTGAAATGGAGTTGCAGTTTTTCATGACAGCTTGTATACTTATGTAATGGAAAAAAGGCTATTGTTAACAAACCATGCAGATTCACCCAATTTGAAAAATGGCAGTTATACGTTTAAAATGACAATGTGTCATTTGGGTCACAGGGTCTACACTTATTGCAAACAAATATTGAAACATCATATATAACTTGCACGGGTTGAAATATTGCAAAAAATTACCCATCGTATGTAACTTGAAGTGAATTGGACATTGAATTAGAAAAAAATGGCAATCGTACACTCGTAAGGCTAAAATGTTCACGTGTCAACCACAATGTTGAAATGTAGTTTAAACTTGTGCTCCTATACTTTCACGTGGTTACGGGCATGAATGAGCCAAAACGAACACAAAATGAGTAGAAATGTCATCCATACGTTCAAAACCATCATATGCCGTTTTGGGTCACGAGGAATTGGTTTCACTCCCAAACCAGTAAAGCATGCTTTAGGACATCATACATGACCCGTACATATTGAACGACTGCAAGTATTATACAATTTAAACCACACTCACCACTTACGTTTTCCTTGATTGTCAAGTGGTGTAGTTTCTTGTCGAATTATGAAGTGGGTGACTACAGTTTGAACTAATGTGCCAACTTCAACGTAAAAATGTAGATTAAACTTGTGCTCCTATACTTTCGCATGGTCACGGACATGAATGAGGCAAAACGAACACAAAATGAGTAGAAATGTCTTCCGTAAGTTCAAAACAATCATATGCCGTTTTGGGTCATGAGGGATCGGTTTCACTCCCAAACTAGTAAAGCATGCTTTAGGACATCATACATGACCCGTACACATTGAACGACCGCAAGTGTTGTACAATTTAAACCACACTCACCACTTATATTTTCCTTGATTGTCAAGTGGTGTAGTTTCTTGTCGAATTATGAAGTGGGTGACTACAGTTTGAACTAATGTGCCAACTTCAACGTAAAAATGTAGATTAAACTTGTGCTCCTGTACTTTTGCGTGGTCACGGGCATGAATGAGGCAAAACGAACAAAAAATGAGTAGAAACGTCATCCATACGTTCAAAACGATCATATGCCGTTTTGGGTCACGAGGGATTGGTTTCACTCCCAAACTAGTAAAGCATGCTTTAGGACATCATACATGACCCGTACACATTGAACGACTGCAAGTGTTGTGCAATTTAAACCACACTCACCACTTACGTTTTCCTTGATTGTCAAGTGGTGTAGTTTCTTGTCGGATTATGAAGTGGGTGACTACAGTTTGAACTAATGTGCCAACTGTAACGTCAAAATGTAGATTAAACTTGTGCTCCTATACTTTCGTGTGGTCACGGGTATGAACGAGGCAAAACGAACACAAAATGAGTAGAAATGTCATCCATACGTTCAAAACCATCATATGCCATTTTGGGTCACGAGAGATTCACTCCCAAACTAGTAAAGCATGCTTTAGGACATCATACATGACCCGTACACATTGAACGACTGCAAGTATTGTACAATTTAAACCACACTCACCACTTACGTTTTCCTTGATTGTCAAGTGGTGTAGTTTCTTGTCGGATTATGAATTGGGTGACTACATTTTGAACCAATGTGCCGACTAAAACGTCGAAATGTAGTTTAAACTTGTGCTCCTACACTTTCGCGTGGTTACGAGCATGAATGAGCCAAAACGAACACAAAATGAGTAGAAACGTCATCCATACGTTCAAAACAATTAGATGCCGTTTTGGGTCACGAGGGATCGGTTTCACTCCTAAACTAGTAAAACATGCTTTAGGACATCATACATGACCCGTACACATTGAACGACTACAAGTGTTGTGCAATTTAAACCACACTTGCAACTTATGATTTTCTTGATTGTCAAGTGGTGTAGTTTCCTACTGGATTATGGAATGGATCACTATAGTTTGAACTAATGTGCCGATCGTAATGTCGAAATGTAGTTAAAACTTTCGCCCCTATACTTTCACGTGGTTACGTGCATGAATGAGCCAAAATGAACACAAAATGAGTAGAAATGTCATCCATACGTTCAAAATGATCATACGCCGTTTTGGGTCACGAGGGATCGGTTTCACTCCCAAACTAGTAAAACATGCTTTAGGACATCATACATGACCCGTACACATTGAACGACTACAAGTGTTGTGCAATTTAAACCACACTTGCAACTTATGATTTTCTTGATTGTCAAGTGGTGTAGTTTCCTACTGGATTATGGAATGGATCACTATAGTTTGAACAAATGTGCCGACCGCAATGTCGAAATGTAGTTAAAATGTTCGCCCCTATACTTTCACGTGGTTACGGGCATGAATGAGCCAAAATGAACACAAAATGAGTAGAAACGCCATCCATACGTTCAAAATGATTAGATGCCGTTTTGGGTCACGAGGGATCGATTTCACTCCCAAACTAGTAAAACATGCTTTAGGACATCATACATGACCCGTACACATTGAACGACTACAAGTGTTGTGCAATTTAAACCACACTTGCAACTTATGATTTTCTTGATTGTCAAGTGGTGTAGTTTCCTACTGGACTATGGAATGAATCACTATAGTTTGAACAAATGTGCCGACTGCAATGTCGAAATGTAGTTAAAACTTTCGCCCCTATACTTTCACGTGGTTACGGGCATGAATGAGCCAAAACGAACACAAAATGAGTAGAAACGTCATCCATACGTTCAAAACGATCATACACCGTTTTGGGTCGCGAGGGATCGGTTTCACTCCCAAACTAGTAAAACATACTTTAGGACATCATACATGACTCGTACACATTGAACGACTACAAGTGTTGTGTAATTTAAACCACACTCACCACTTACGTTTTCCATGATTGTCAAGTGGTGTAGTTTCTTGTCGGATTATGAATTGGGCGACTACAGTTTGAACTAATGTGCCGACCACAACGTCGAAATGTAGTTTAAACTTGTGTTCCTACACTTTCACGTGATTATGGGAATGAATGAGACAAAATGAACACAAAATGAGTAGAAACGTCATCCATATGTTCAAAACGATCAGATGTCGTTTTGGGTCACGAGGGATCGATTTCACTCCCAAACTAGTAAAACATGCTTTAGGACATCATACATGACCCGTACACATTAAACGACTGCAAGTGTTGTACAATTTAAGCCACACTCACCACTTACGGTTTCCTTGATTGTCAAGTGGTGTAGTTTCTTGTCGAATTATGAAGTAGGTGATTACAGTTTGAACTAATGTGCCAACTTCAACGTAAAAATGTAGATTGAACTTGTGCTCCTATACTTTCGCGTGGTCACGGGCATGAATGAGCCAAAACGAACACAAAATGAGTAGAAACGTCATCCATACGTTCAAAACGATTAGATGCCATTTTGGGTCACGAGGGATCGGTTTCACTCCCAAACTAGTAAAACATGCTTTAGGACATTATACATGACCCGTACACATTAAACGACTGCAAGTATTGTGCAATTTAAACTATACTCACTACTTACATTTTCCTTGATTATCAAGTGGTGTAGTTTCTTGTTGGATTATGAAGTGGGTGACTACATGTTGAACTAATGTGCCGATCGCAACATTGAAACGTAGTTTAAACTTGTGATCCTACACTTTCGCGTGGTTACGGGCGTGAATGAATCAAGACGAACACAAGATGAATAGAAATGCCAGACATACGTTCAAAACGATCACATGCCGTTTTGGGTCATGGGGGATCGATTTTACTCCGAAACTAGTAAAAAATGCTTGAGGACATCAAACATGACCCGTTTTGCATATATATCCATAATAAACGTAAATGAATAGAATTGAACATTAAATGAATAGAAACATTAGGCATACATTTAAAATGACTAGATATTGTTTTGGTCAAAATAAAGTGCTGCTATCACAATTACCAGAACCTGATCAAAATAGCTATAATTTACATTCATCCATAACAATTTATCAAAACTATCAAAATGCATCAAAAACCCTCGTAATTTAACCACAATTTCAAGATGAAGTTTGGCAAAAACAAGTCCCATGATCCATCAATTAGTGCAGAGCATTTTTGCAAGTTAGGCGATTATGGCCACTCTGACCATATCTACTACATTTACGAGTCTTTTTTCCCTCCCCTCTTGATGGAATTCGATGGTTTTTAGGATGCCCACATTGTCGTCGATTCACAAGGGGTGGTAACACCTTAGTTTGATTGGAGATTTCCCAGTGAGCCTCATTTGCCACTGGACATATACATTCGACATATGCTTGTTTCCAACTAGTAGTGGTATAATAGGGTGAGCACAAACTATAACAAGATACTCCCTTAAACTTCGCTGCTGCAAGTGCATGTTTGCAAGGAAGCTTTTCTAAATCAAACTCCCTACAAGTACAAGTTCTTGCCTCCAAGTTAACAATATGCATTTCATTTTCAACACCGACATGTAACTCGTACTCATTTATTGGTACCACCATCTGTCCCTTTGCATCGTCATATTGTTTACGCATTTTTTCCTCAATAGGTGGGGTTAGAGTAGTTGCACATTTTTCAGCCTCAATGTGTCTCTCATAAAACCATTTCTGCAAGGTCTTTCTGATTTGCTCAACCATAGCAAGTACTGGAAATTCGCGAGCATTCTTGAACGACGAGTTTAAAGATTCTGCATTGTTAGTCGTCATAATATTTTAACGGATTCCTTTGAAATGTGCTCGAGACCAAACTTCATATCCAACAGTCTTTTCTAGGTATTTTCCAACTACCGCACTTTTACGATATATATTTGCCATTGATTTTTCAAAATTAATCAAACTATATTCTTTTGCAGTTGCCATAAACAATGGCAAAATATCCGTCCTATGATAATTGGACTTTATGTTTAGTTGTAGATGCCATATGCAATATCCATGATGTGCATAAGGATAAACAATCTTTATAGCATTACCAATGCTCTCCTTACGATCAGAAATCAAAACAAGCCCTTCCAATATACCTGTTACTTGAAATAACTTACTGAAGAACCAAGTCCATGATGCGTCGTTTTCAGAATCAACAATGCCAAATGCAAGAGGATATATTTGAAGATTTGCATCTTGACACGTGGCAACCAGTAACGTACCACGAAATTTGGATTTGAGAAATGTTCCATCCACAGAAATGACCCGTCTCATTGATGAATGAAAGCCACGTATGCTTGGTCCTAAAGCCATGAAAAAGTATTTGAAACGGTTCTCATTATCAACCTCAATAAACGTCACTGTGCCGGGATTATTCTTCTTCAAAATATTGCAATACTTCGCCAATCTATCATAACTAAGATCAGGTGAACCTCTTAATAGCTCTAAAGCACATTCTCTAGCCATCCATGCCTTATAACAATTTATATCTATGCCAAACTCCCGACGAATATCGTTCTGGATGTTCGAAGGCTTGTATATAATGTTAGGATCCTCAAATCTCGACATGATGTGTTTTCCAATCATCCAACAACTAGCTTGTCTATGATCTTTGTGGCGAACATCCAATGAACAAGCATGATGGCGTGAGTACTTTCGAATTTCAAATTCCTCGCTTTCCTTCAACCGTGTTGCCCGCAAACGCCATTTGCAAATTTTTTCAACACAAACTACTACATATGTACTCTTATTTGACTTAGCAATTTTAAATTCAAAACAGTTTCTTACAGCAAGCATTTGTAGTGAAGCCTGGAGATCTTTCTTGCTGCGAAAAATTTGGCTAACATGCATATCATCGGCGTCGGGAATCTTAAACGACGTTTCACAAGGGTTCAGACAAACAACTTCTTGTGAATTGCCAATAATCTCATCTACCAATGTCAACTGTGTATTTTGAGTAACATTGTCTTCATTTATCACATGAGAATCATTCATATAGTTGCCATGCACTATTTCCACCCCATCCCAATACTCATCACTTGTAAAATTCACACACTCGTTTTCACAATTTTGATTAAATGGAGACAACAGTTGCATATAATTGTCATCGAACTTATCTTTTTGCATATTGCATTCATCCACATTATCCACAACAACGTTTGAATTGTGTTCATGATTCTCTTGAACATTTATCATATCAAGCTCCATGTTTTGTTGATCATCATTACCTTTTTCCAAAAGGGTTACACAAATTGGAACTTGGTCATGCAAAGAGAGAAACCAACTAACATCCATATCGCAAGTAATCTTCATTGGCGGAACTGCTAATTTTACCATGCCGGGAATGAGAAATTTCATCTCGATGTCATACATAACGGGATCAACTTTAACTACTTTTCGGACTTCTTCATATAACTTCGTATATGAAATAGTCTTTGACACAAAAATATTTGTTGCAGTTTCTTGATCATTTCCTATCCATTTCCAAATCCATCCTCCTTGATCACTCTTTTCAAATTCAACAAAATAACAAATGACAATCATCGCTCCAGAGTCCATATCTGCAATTCAATAAAAAAAATGTAATATATTACCCCATTAATTGTCAAAACTGAATACTATAAAATATAGTTATAGTAACAAATAGAAGGCAGCCCACATTGTCACATAACTGATTTTAAGCAGAAAAAACTGTATTCTGTAGTTTAAAATGTGTATGTGCCATTTCAATTTGTTTACAATAATAAAATGCTACAAAAGAATAGAGGAATGACTAATTTACAAGCAACTATATCAATACCACCGTTGTCATATTATAACAGCATACAATTACAGGAAAACGTCATCCAATTACAGGAAAACGGCACCATTCCGTTTTTATATTTCACAGCAAATTTTGCTTACCCAAATGATTTTTTATAGTAGACAACTAGAAAACAACAAGAAATCGTTAATTTTCAATTTATAAAACATACCTTCAACTGTTTGAAACCAATTTTTGCTAACGTATTTCCAAAATTTGCACAGCTGGATTTGTTCTTGGCTCAAATAAAGAAACTTCAAAATGTAATCATTACTTGTAAGTAAGAATAATGCATATGAAGAACAAGAATGTGGAAATGAAGGTGGATTTAATAGGGTGAAAATGGGGTTGGATATGTTAGAATGAAGGAGATCTAGGGATTTATGTTTGAGAATTTGGTAAATATTCATCTCCAAATAGGATATTTTAGTCATTTCAACTTTAAGGGTATTTGAGAGTTTTGATACATAGTATAGGCTATTTGAACAAAAACTATTGACATGGACTACTTTACCAAAGATTAATGTTGACCAGGCTTCTTAAACAAATTCCTCTTTAGAAAGTAAGGTCAAACGTCTTCCTCCATTTACCCTTTTCTATATTAGTAAACAAGGATTAAACACTTGAAAAGAAAGAAAATTAAAGTTGACATGGCCACTAATTAGCTTAAACAAAGTTGAAAATTAATTTTAAAAGAGATTTATTGGAGCAAATAATCGAAATAGCACTTCGGGAAAAAAAAATATTTACTCTTCCAATGTTCCCTTTTTTTTTCCCAACAAGTCCTTCTATTGACAGAGTTATATCTTCTCTCATTGACTCAAGATCTCATCAACATCTGTACCATGAATGGACAGTCTCAGTCCTAGTCTTGAATGCATCATTTGATACTATGCAGTTGAAAGCAAAATAAGACACCTTGATTGATAATTTCATTGATCAAACAACAAACACCAAAGCCAAGATTGAAAGTTGGATGAACCAAACTACAAGAAACTTTACTAATATTCCAATGAATAACTTGTGCAATTTATCATCGACTTTTAAAGGTTAGATACAATATTTTAAAGGAGCAATAATTTTTTTAGCAGTAGAACTAAGGAAAATAAATAAATAATAGGTAAATAATAATCTCCATAGTCCCGATCTTCTATCCCTAAAGAATGGTATAAAAGCTTTCCGCATCTGTCGTGGTAAGAGAACCTTAGTCATGATTCTTTGAAATGATCATAAATTCAGAGAACCATAACTAAGGTTCTCTTGCAACATCAATAATGAAATTTTTTTATCTTGCTCATTGAGAGTAGGAGATCAATTTTTTAATGATCTCCACTTGGGAGAAATGAACTCAAGTAGAGGGATTTGGCTCCATCTGTCCAATTAAGTCATGTGGTAGTCATTCTTTGGATGTAATAATTTGTAGAATTTTACTCCTCGTTCATGGTTTGTCGATAGTTTGCATGATGGTCATTTAAATGAATGACATGGCGGGCGAGAAACTGAAATGAATGAAAAATGGATACCACTTAACCTGGCCTACATACCCATTTAGAATTTGTACACACCACATCATACTCCATAGAACCCTACAAGGTGATTGTAACCAAACATTGCCGCCATTCAATCCACAAAATTGAAGCCATTCTACGTAATGAAATCTACCGGCATCAATAATGTATCTTCATTTTAGGCTTCATCGACGTTATTGTTTACTTTCCAACCTATTGTTGCACACATGTGAAGCAGATATGTCGAAATGAAATCGACCAGAAGCATCAATGCTTCTTCGTTTTAGGGTCCATCCACCATATTTTTTGTTGACCTACCCATCTGTGCATACAAGAGAAGTGCAAGCGCCCCATTATTAGAACTTTTGAAGAGCTGATTTATACCTAAATCAATCGTGACTCAAGACCAGGCCTTCACACATCCATTGAAAGAAAAATTATGTGACGTCTAAGGTGAATGCCTTTAATGTTATGTAAAATCATATGACCTTTTCTTACATTTGATAATTGAAACAGTAATTTTGATTTCTTCCTTGCTCGTTGTATGAACATAAACGAATATTTCATTTATCACGATGTATAGAACAATTGAAAAGTACGAAACATGTTTCCTTCGCCAAAGTGCTGAGCATGTCTATGTAAAGTTGCTTATTTAGTTCTATTATTACATTAGCCAGTAAGGAATTCCTATCTAGCACAGAGGAATTCCAACAGCAGTATAGCCAGCAAAATTCTTCGAATGCTGTTTAATGTAAGGTTTAGTTCAGCTCCTTCCTAAGCGTCAGCCACCAAAGAAAATTCTCTTCCTGGAATCCAAACGCCAATTGTAAATTTCATCAGAATGAAGGCCATCCCACAGATCGTTGTAGGAATCTGCAACACGAGATTCAAGATCTGAATGAAGAAGGGAAGATTGCAGTGACAGACGAAGCATCTCCTATTGCGCCCAATCCCAACGAGAAAGTGGGAGTTTTAAAAGATCCACTCCCTAGCCAAACACCTTCCGCCTATGCTTTCAATCATTTCTTTCCACTTACCTTAACCGTTTACTATCTTAAATAGGCTAGCTAAGGCTGACTTTGTTCTATCAAACATGAGCTGAAATGATTTCTTTGACCAATTTTAAGGATTTTACCTAGTTACGAAGAACCTGCGGTGTGGAAGAGTAGAAGACATGACTGAGAAAGGTAATTTCCATGGTTTTTCAAATTTATAGTTTATGAATGTATGGAATCTGATTATGACATATTGAATGAGGCTTAAAATATCTTAGTTTGTTATTTGGCTAAACGTTATATCTTTTTGTTGTTGCAGGAAATGAAATAGTAATTGACTTGGATGATGAAGGTTCAGTAGAATCCAATAACGTGGATGTTATGGACCATGTGATTACTTTGAAAGAAGATATTGTAGAAGGAGATGGTGTGATTGTGCCAGAGGTAGGTATGAAGTTCAAGAATGAGAAAGACCTGTTT